TTCACACTACACAGCGTCGGAAACTTCTCGAAAACGCCGAAAAACACTCACAGAAACACTCAGAAGCTCCGGAAATGCGTCGGAGGGATTCTAGAGAGAAGATCTAGTGATTTTCTAGAGAGAAGGAGGAGAAACTATGTGGAAATGAGGGAATGGAGCCCCCTATTTATAGGTTTTCGCGCCTGACAGGTTGAGACCGTCGTTCCCGTCTGACAAGGTCGAGACCGCCGTCTCGCCAGTCGGGACCGCCGTCTCGTCTTGCAAAAGTGGCGAGACCGCCGTCTCGCCAAACGATACCGCCGTCTCACCCTTCGCAGGTGGCGAGAACGCTGTCCCGGAAAGCGAGACCGCCGTCTCGCCATTCGCAGGTGGCGAGACCACCATCTCGCCAAACGAGACGGCGGTCTCGCCACTTGCATGAGGCGAGACGGCGGTCTCGATTTCGAGACGACGGTCTCGTCCCCAAAAAGGCAAGAAACCTCATTTTTGTGCCAAAGATCCCTCCTATCCTAGTATGGGGCCTAATAGTCTCTCCTAGTGGCTTCTTAGGCTTCGTCCATCTTTGAATAGAAGGTCTTCTGCTCTTATTATAAGGCCGAGCAAGATTTGGGGTCTACAAGCAATAACTTAAAAGCATTAGACAATTGCAAGAAAAAGGTTTGGCCATTTTGATCAAGGGAGGGATTTGTATGATATTTCATCCAGATAAAGTGTCGGTAATTCAAACCAATATGAGTGCCAATAGGATGTTTGGATTATTGCCTCAACAACAACCTACCTCTCATACACAATCTAGTCAATGTTTTCAAATGCACATTCAAAGTTTATCTCAACTTTGGCATTAGAGGTATGGGCATTTGAGTTATAAGGACCGATAGATATTACTATCTAAGGAAATGGTACGTGGACTTCCTAAACTTTCCATTTCAACTATGACATGTACTGATTGCATCAACGAAAAACAACATCATGATTCTATTCCAAAGATAAGTTATTGGAGAACAACACAATAGTTGTAACTTGTTCATGCATATATACGTCTTATCACTCAAACATCTAACTGTAATAAGAGGTACATTTTGCTATTTATTGATGATTATAGTAGAAAAAGTATGGGTATATTTTTCTGGTAGAGAAGACAAAAGCTTTACGTTTTTTTAAATGCTTTAAGAATAGGGTTGAGAAGGAAGCTTAAATGTCTATTAAGTGCCTATGAAATGAAAGAGGAGAATTCAATTCAAGTGAGTTCAATGACTTTTGCAAACATAATGGGAATAAGAGGAAATTAACTACTACTTATACTCCATAGAAAAACGGTGTTGATGAAAGAAAAAAACGAACTATGACGAGCATTGTTTGTTCCATGTTGTTTGAGAAAAATATTCCTAGAGCTTTTTGGGTAGAGACAGCAAATTGGACTGTCTTTGTTAAACTTGTACTGGATCACTTTCGAGTCTTTGGCTATATAGCGCATGTTCATGTTCTAGAAGCAAGGAGGACTAAACTTGATAATAGAAGTATTACTTTTGTATTATTAGGTGTTAGTGAGGAATCCAATGGTTATAAATTATTTGATCTAATTACTAAGAAAGTTATTATCAGTAGAGATGTGATTTTTTAAAAAGAGAAGAAATGGAATTGGAAAATAGATCGTACCAAATTTGGCATGGGACGATGGTGAGAATATAGAGAGGGACACTGAAAATGAAGAAAATATTAATGAAGAGACAAGAGAAATTTGTGAAGAAGGACCTGGTGAAGAAGTTGACAGTTTTAATGAGGATGAAGAATAAGTAAGGGGACTGAGGCCATCTAGAGAGAAGAAAACTCCTGTATGGATGGATGAGTATGTGAGTGATGAAGGCTTATCTAAAGATGAGGGAGATATGACTCTAATGGTCTCAATTGATCCACTAAGTTATAAGGAAGTTGTAAAAAGTGAAAATTGGAGATTGGCTATAGATAATGAGATTTATTCCATTCAAAAGAATGGAACTTGGACACTCACTAAATTGTCAAGTGGAGTTTAAAGAATTGGAGTGAAATGGGTTTAAAAAATCAAATACAATGAGAATGGAAATATTGATAAATATAAGGCCCGATTAGCTACTAAAGGATATCCTCATAAACATGGAGTAGACTACACGAAAGTTTATGCACCATTGGTAAGAATGGATATAATAAGAATGATTGTTATTGTAACTGCATGTAAGAGTTGATAGATTTTTCAGTTAGACATTAAGTCAGCCTTTTTGATGGTGAGTTGAGTGAAGATGTTTGTGTGGAGCAACCAAAAGGATATGAGATAAGGGGCAATGAATATCTTGTTTATAAGTTGCATAAAGCTTTGTATAGATTAAAATAAGTCCCATGAGCATGGTTTAGTCAAAATGAAGCACATTTCATTGGTGAAGGATTCAGTGAGCAAACTTTATTCTTTAAAAGGAGAAAAGAAGGAAAAATTATCATTGTAAGTGTTTATGTTGATGATTTAATTTATACTGGCAATGATGAACATATGATGGCTAGATTTAAAGATTCTATTTTGAAGGAGTTTGATATGACTAACTTTGGGAAGATGAGGTTTTTTCTTGGGATTGAAGTCCTATAAAGATCAAATGGTATTTATATATGCCAAAAAAAACTATTCCTTGGAGTTTTTGAGAAGGTTTGGTATGATGGAAAGCCATTCAGTAGCCAACCCAATAATTTCAGGTTTAAGAATGAGTAGAGAAGGAGTTGGCAATTTCGTGAATGAAACATACTATAAGTGTTAAGAGGTTTCTTTACCAGCAAGCGCACTTGGTAGTTATAGTATAAACAAATGTCGTATCCTCATAGACTTGCGAATTATTCAATAACAAGTATAGATTCAATTCTAAATTTTCAACTAAAAAAGGAATTTAAACATGTTTGATAAATGAAATGTAAAATTTAGGTTAAGGTAGGAAACCACTTTTTAAAACTGCAGAGTTAAATAAATGTATGAGAATGAATTTCACTTATCTTCTTCTTCTTGTGTCTTCTTCTTAATCACATATCTATTTTTTAGTTCAATGTTATTGAGTCCTAAAATTCCCTCTAAGAAATCCCTTGCTTTAGAATTTCTAAAGATTCTATTGTAACAATCAATTTCTTAAATCATTAAAATAATATTTTTGCATTAAACTCAGGACTATATCAACTAATAATATCACATTTATTCCTAGCATACAACATTATTAGATTATTTGATTTAAACACATCCAAGTTTAGTTTTCCAACATAAACCCAAATTAGAAATCGAAAGATGGTTGGTCAAGCCACCTTAGCTTTAAAAAATCAAATCTCATAATATTTCATATATATGTAAATCAAGAGAAGTACAAAGTAGTTTATAAGTTACATTCAATCTCAATACAAGGTGAGCTTAACTGCTCATGATGAGAATATATATAAACTAGTGATAGAATAGTAGAGCTTGAGCTTTCTTCCTCTCTTTTCCTGTCTCTCAAACCTTATTCTCTTCTATTTTTCTGCTGCCCCGCAAAAACTTCTCTTTTTGCTCTTTATATGTTCTCTGATTTAATGATTTCTCACTCAAGCGAGAAAGAAAACATCATTTTGAAGAAACCTAATTTTGCTCAAGAGAAAGTTTCCTAACTCGATCAAATTTGAGTTCGACCGAGAGTCACCAAAATTGTAGTTTTTATCTCTCAAGCGAGACACTTGCTTAAGCAAAAATTGTTCAGATTGCTCCCTCTCGCGTGATTGTTCTCACTCAAGCGAGACAAGCCTCGCTTGAGTGAGAGTTCCCCTGCATTGTTGCCCTATTGACAAGTTAACTTTTTGGTCTTCTAATTTTCTTCCCTTGATTGGTTGGTTTCTTTCCAATTTCTGTACTTAATCCTTCACAAAAAGGGTATACACAAATTATTCTAAATTTAGGAAATTCCTAGTAGAAATTACGGCAAAAATATTGTTAAGTGTTCATCAAAGTCTCATATATTTAGTAAATTTTGTTACTTAACAATAAGTAGTTGGTAGTTTGTTGTACCATACTACCACAAGACCTGATATGATGTCTAGTACTTGTCTTATAAGTAGATATATGGCAAATCCAATGGACATTTATTTATAGACAACTACGAGGGTGTTTCGATATTTAAAAGGAACTATCAACTATGGAATTCATTACAAGAAAATAGGAGATGGTGAGTTGTTAAGATTCATAGATAGTGACTATGCAGGAGATATAGAAAATAAGAAGAGTACATCTCGTTATGTGTGTTTTGATGTGTACAGGTGTAGTCTCATGGTGTTCAAAAAAACAACTTATTGTAACACTATCAACAACAAAAGTAGAGTTTGTGGTAGTTTTTGTTTACGCTTGTCAAGGGATATGGATGAAAAGAACTTTGAAGGAGTTAGAACACTCTTGTGGAAATTGTATAACCATGATGTGTGATAACAACTCAACCATCAAGTTATTTAAAAATCTTATTATGCATGGTCGCAACAAGCATATAGATGTGAGGTTTCATTTCTTAAGAAATCTTACTAAGGAAGGTACAATTGAATTAATTCATTGTGCAGTCAAGATCATGTAGTAGATATAATGACCAAGCAATTGAAACTTGAAGCCTCTCAAAAGCTCTTAAAGTTATTGAGAGTATGTGAAATTTCTGAATTAAACTTTGTATAACATTTAGTTTATGGGAGGGATTGATTGAGTTTGTACTTTGCATAAATGTTCAGTTTTAATTTGAATAATATCCTAGTTTAACTAGATACGTAGTCATAGGGAATTTGTTTTGAATTATTGTTTTTCCCTTTTTGTTACCAATACCCTTTAATTTTGCTTGGTGAGTTGTTTCACGGTTACACATTGTATTGATTGGTTATTTAAAGTCAATATTGTAGTTAATAAAATTGAGTCATTTTCAGTCTAGGTTGTTGTGATACTTTTCAGTTTTATTCTGAACAAGGAAACATAGTCATGGTGGGGATCTCAATTAGTCATGATTGTGATCTCAATTGATCATGGTGGTATGGTGATCTCGATAAGTCAAGGTGGGATCTTGATGATTCTTGTTGGGGATCATGGTAAGTCATGGGGGGATCTTTTTGAGTCGTTAAGATTTGGGTTAGTCATGGTAGGGATCTTAGTTATTTGTTGTTGTTATCTTTGATAATCATGGTGGGAAACTCAGTGAGTCATGGTTGTGATATCAGTCACTCATGGTGATCTCAATTATTTGTAATGGTGTTCTTCGTAAGTCATGGTGGGGTCTCGATTAATCATGATGGTAATATTAACAAGTCATGGTCGGAGTCTCGTCCAATCATGGTGTGGATTGCAATTGGTCATGGTGGCGATCTTAACGAGCCATGGTAGGGATCATAATTAATCATTGTGGGGATCTCAATTAGTCTTTTATGACGATCTAGGTTAGCCATAATGTATATCTTAACAAGTCATGGTGGGGATCTCAATCATTCATGGTGAAAATCTTAATGAGTTATGGTAATGATCTCATTTAGTCATGGTGCAAAATGTGTTACGTCGGTGGGCATCTCACTTAATCATGGTGGTGACCTTAGACAGTCATGTTGTGGATTTTAGTAAGTCATGTTGGGGATCTGAGTGAGTCATGGTGAGAAATTCGGTAAGTCACGATAGGGATCTCAATTAGTCATGTTAGGGATTTCAATTAGTCGTGGTGTGAGTATTAGTGACTCTTGGTGAGGATCTCGGTCCATCATGGTGGTGAGCTCAAATAGTCAAGGTAAGGAGAGTCATCAGATCCAGAAAGTTGTCTCTAAGTTCATTAGACCATATCAAATTTTGAGAGGGATTAGTTCAGGGACTTATGAGATTAGTTTACCACCTCACTTAGCAAATCTATATAGTATAATCCATGTGTCTCAATTAAGGAAGTATGTACTTGACCCAAGTCATGTGTTGGAGGTGGATAAGACGAAGGTCAGGGAGGATTTTTTTCGTTGAGACTAAGCTAGCTAGGATTGAGGATAAGTAGATTGGGTAGCTTAGGGGAAAGTTTATTATCATGGTGAGAGTGTTGTGGGATGCTAGGTTGGAAAATTCCACTTAGGAGCTAGAGAAAAGTCCAAGATAATCTTATCCCTATCTCTTCCTAGGTAAGTGAATTTTCAAGGACAATAATTTTTTTGTTTGGAAAACATGAGGAATCAATTTAAGTGAGTTAAGAGTGGAAGTGATCTAATGGGGTAAAGTTTGAAGTTTTACCAGTTAAGTTGAAAAGAGTTATAAATAGAAAGCTTAACAATTCAAACTTCATTATAAAAAAATCGTTATCTCTTTACAACTTTCTTTCTCTAACTTCTCTCTAACTTTCTAACTCTCTCATTTCTTTTTCTAGATCCAAGCACATCTTAGTTCTTTTGGAGTAGAGGAGGCCTGCTTAATCAAAATTCAAATAGAGTAAGTTTCTCTTTGTCTAATTTTATAGAATTTTTGCATGTTAAGGGTTAGGGTTGTATGTGGGCTCAAAGTGTTTGCATGTATATTATATTAAACAAAAATGAATTTTGACTAGTTTATGAACATTGTGGCATACTTAATTTGTTAATTGAAATTTTTTGTGAGCAGAATCTCACTTCTTGATAATTAAGGAGTTTTGGAGATTTTCTAGCTTGTCCTCATTGTGATTGAGGACAGAGAACTTAGTTATTCTAAAATTTTCATAGTACTCTAGGCTAGAAGATCCAAATTGTGAAGGACTTAGTTATAATATTTGAATTACAAGAAAGTTGATTATGTGATTGTATGTGTGTTAATTTTGTGATGATTACAACTAAACATTTAATGTGAGGTGATAATTCATTTCTATGAGACTGAAAATTATAATGTTTTGTGTGGTTTTATTGTACTTATATTGAATTGATTTTCAATTTAGAGAGTAGTGGTTGGATTCAATTTGATTTAAAACTTTGAAAATAAGGTATGTGATCAATTATATTGTTTGGTATTATTATGAATCTGCACAACAAGTTTAATTTCGTTCAGCGAATTTAAAACAGTGTATAAAGTTTCACCTAGTGAAATTTTGTTCAATTTTGTGAAAGTTTTTCCTAACCAAATATCATTTTGTTAAACAAAATTTTGAAAAAATCAAACATTGGAAGTGTATACATAATTCACTTAGCCATTTTATTTTCACTAAATAGATTTGAAATCCACTTGGTGCTTTCAATATTTATTCAACTATTTTCGTAAAAATAAAAAAATCTCACGACTTTAAGGGTTTTAGAAAATTCTTAATTGTTATATATATCTTTACATTTAGAATATTAAGTTAAATACCAAATTTGATTAGATGATGTTTTTAAACATATAATGAATTGTGTAAAATTAGATAGGCTTGAGCAATTTTTCGCAATTCGTTCCAACCAGTCTGAAACCGAAGATAAAATTAAAAATGGGTTGGATTTAATCATGTTAACAGGCAATCTAGTAAAAATAAATGGATTTCAATGGATAAAAGTGGTTGGGTCAGAATGTGATATTTTAAAATTAGAAATATCTTATCTGACTGGTATACATTCACTTTGACTCAAAAACCCTAAGTATAAAAGGAAAAATATAAGAAAACCATATGTGTGTCGTTTCTTACATTCCACAGAGTTCCTTATCTCAAGCATTCACTACTTTCAGCAACTCTACAATGATTTACATCAAGGTTAGTCTTTTTTATCTTTGTTTTTTCAAGCATTCACTACTTTCAGCAACTCTACAATGATTTACATCAAGGTTAGTCTTTTTTATCTTTGTTTTTTCTGTGTTTTAGGTTAATTTTTTTTTCATGTTTCTCATCCCCTCTCGGTTAAGATCATATTATTTACATTTCTTTTCTTTTTCTTCCAGTATTTATGCATAATTTTTTGATGAATTTGTTTACTTGAAGGCACAAACAACTAATTCGTACTCAAATCGAAGTTTGTCTTTTTTCATCCTGATTTTCTATGTTCTAGGTTAACTTTTCATCATCTTGATTTGTTGTGTTCTAGGTTAACTTTTTTTCATCTTCTTCATTTTCTCTCGATCCAAATTCTTCATCTCAATTTTCTATGTTCTAGGTTAACTTTTCTTCATCTCTTCATTTTCTCTCGATCTAGATTATATTATTTATATTTTTCTCTTCTTTCGGTATATATGCATATGCTTTTATGCATTTGTTTTTTTCTATTTTGCTAAGGTCTTAAAGAGAAAGATAAGTTATTTTTCATTATTAGTTTTTACTTTGTGATTTCATGTCTTGTTGTTAATGTAAGTAAAAGTACCAAAAAAATAATCACTTTGTTCATCTTTAAAACATTTGAAACACGTGCAAGTCATATAATTATAAACTTAAATTAGGATAATATCTATGGAGTGTGAAATTTTTTATATCTAGTTTTAATTTTTCCATCTAGACCAATTCATAATGATCTTAAATTTTGTAAAAAAATTGTTTAGTTTTTGATAAATTAATTGCAAAATTAATATTAACATATACTCTAATGGTTTATGTGTATTAATATGCTTTTATAATTCTATTAAATTGTTATATTGCATGTTTCTCATGTGGATGGATGCTAGGAATTTGATGTATGGTAGTGTTGATATTATAATTTGACTATTATGATTAGAAAAAAGAGAGCTTAGAATCAATAAACAAAGTAGGGATTATATTCTAAATTTTTGGCATAGTCTTTGTGTTCTATAAGAACTTAAATTTATATGCTTTGTTTTTTCTATTCATATTGTGTCAATCTTTGTCTGTTATAAGAGTATTAATAAATTTTAATAAAATACGTATTGAAATTTTTCCATGTTTAAAGAATAAAGTAGTTAAATTGGAGGTTAAATAGAGTGTTAAGAAATGTGTGAAGCAAAATGCTTTAAAGTTTTCAAAAAAAATGAGAATTTGTTTTCTATCCTAGGCTGATTTCTGGTTGTCATAAAAGACCCATCAACACTAGTGCAAAAAGGGGCTTTTACGTCAGGTATTTAGGGCTTTTCACGTCGTATTTAAAACTGACGTTAAAACGAGAGACGTAAATTTACGTCGGACCCTTTAGCCCGACGTAAATTTACGTCAGTTATCAAGACCCGACGTAATTTTGCGTTGCATATACCACTAAACAGACGTTAAAACTTTCAGAAATTAAAAAAAAAAACAGCAAATTTACGTCGCATATGGTATATGTGACGTAAATTTACGTCGCATATACCAATACGCGACGTAAATTTATGTCGCATATACCAATACGCGACATAAATTTACGTCGCATATTGGTATATGCGACGTAAATTTACGTCGCGTATTGGTATATGCGACGTAAATTTGCTGTTTTTTTTTAATTGGGTTGATTCTGTTTTACAACTAAAACCTGCAAATATATATTACAACCAGACGAGTTCAGAGGTTCAATTTTCTTTAGCTAGTAATATAATGATGAATAAATATAATGTTATTTTCAAAATTTAAATACAAACAATAATTATGGTATTCACTTATTATAATAAGTTTCTAATCTTAGGATGAATGAACTGCAAAGTCTTTGTTACGGGTTTTCCACTTAGAACATTAGTTATAGACACGATTCTAAATGAAAAAAAGCCATATATTATTCAATACCTTTTCCATTTTCACTACCAAATTTCAAAAATTCATCAACTCCCTTTTCGTACTCTTCACTAATACGACGTGCATTCATCCAAGTTCGATTCATATTATGTTATAAAGTTTTGTCACTCCTAGATATTCAAAATCTATATTTAAAAATAAATTAATATACAAATAATAAAGCACGTATATGGAGTGTGTAAACCGAAAATGCACTCAAACAAAATAATGACATTCCAATAACAATCCAGTGGAGACATTCATACAATGACGTGATTTAGATCCCCAAAAACAATCACGGATTCAATTTGAACATATATCAGGAGACATAGAACACTAACCTCGAGTAAACACGAAAACGATTTCAAACTCGAATCCAATCGGGGAGAAATGTCAAATTCGTAAAATGAGACACAATGTTGATGTTCTTCACTGCCAAAATGATCGAAAATGGTGTGGAAAGGTAGCTATCATTGTCGTTTTCATTGTCGTTCTAAAAAACCCTTGCGGCGCGAGATGCGGGAGTGGGTATAGAAGAGAATAAAAAAAACTTTTTACGTCGCACACCCTAGTACGTGACGTAAAAAGCCTCTTTTACGTCGCGCACCCCCATGTGACGTAAAAAGTGATATTTTTTACGTCGCGCACCCCCCATGTGACGTAAAAAGTGATACTTTTTACGTCGCGCACCCCCCACGTGACTTAAAAAGATCTCTTTTACGTCGCATTGTACCAGGTGCGACGTAAAAGAGGTTTTTAACGTCACCTCCTACAATATGCGACGTAAAAGTTTCACCTCTTATTTACAAAATTGCCACCGCGTTTTATTTACGTCGAATATTTTGACATGCGACGACAATTGGGTGACGTAAAATGTCATTTTTGCACTAGTGCAACTCTTCTGTACATGGAGATGATAAAGATGTTCTTTGTTAAAATACATTAATTATTTTGTGTAATAACAATAAACTGCATTATGATAAGCAAACATTTTATAAATTTTTCCTTATATTCTTTGGTTTTTACATATAACTATTAAATCAATAATCATACTCTTTTTTATTATAATTATTAAACTTTTAACTAAGAATTCCTAAAATAATGCACATATTATAATTGGAGGTTATTGACTATGACTTATTCACTATAGTTGTAATGAAGTTGTCTAGTCAGAAATCGCTTCCAAGATTACAACATTATACACTTTTGTTGAATATGAAAATCTCAACAATGTTGTTTCAATGCTAGAAAATTTAAATATACAACTATCTAACCAACCTACATTTGCAACTAAAACTGTTGAAGTAGACCCTAATGTTTGTATTAACAAAAATACAAAAAAGAGAAAATCAAATATCAGTGGTAAACAAACAACTTCTATTATTTTGGATCACTTCACAAAAACCCTTGAATCCACTAATCAATTTCAACTTGCAATCGTTGTGGTAAGCCATTTAGATGTGATCCAAAAACGCATGACGCATCTAACCTACTTAATCACAGTAAAAAGTTATGTCCTAAATATTTGTTATTGCTATTTATAATCCTAACTAAATAACACCCGCCTTTAAAAGTGGTGAGAATACTCGTCTTGTTGCAACTAGTCAAAAATATAATCTTCAAGTTTGTCAAAAGACAATTGTTGTTTTTATTATTGTAGATGAACAATCATTTAGGGTTGTTGAGGGTGAGGACTTTAAGAATTTGTGTAGACAACTGCAACCTTTGTTTACTATCCCATCAAGGTTCACAATTGCTAGAGATTGTTTTCAATTGTATATGGATGAAAAAATTAGGTTAAATGTCTTCATTAAGTTAAATTGTGTTAGAGTAGCACTTACTACTTATTTTTGGATATCAATTCAAAACTTAAACTATTTGACACTCACTACACATTTCATAGATAACTATTAGAGGTATAAAAAAATAATACGTTTTTCAGTCATTCCAAATCAAAAAGGGGAGACAATAGAGAGAAAAATGGAAGAAGTATTAAGAAAATGGGGACTTAGAAATGTATCTACACTCAGTTGACCATGCATCATCTAATTATGTAGTTGTAACATATTTAAAAAAGAAAGGGTGGGTTAGTAATGGATGAAAAATTTGTCCATATAAGGTGTTGTGCCCATATACTAAACTTGTTGTGAGTGACGGTTTGAAAGAGTTGCACACTCAATAACAAGTATTAGGAATGTTGTTAGATTTGTAAGATCTTCACCACAAAGGATGACTAAGTTTAAGGAGTGCATAGAGTTTTCAAAAATTGATTGCAAAAAGTTAGTGTGTCTCAATGTTCCCACAAGGTGGAATTCCACATATTTGATGTTAGATGCAACAACAAAATTTCAAGTTGCATTTGAAAAGCTCGGCAATGAAGACTAATTTTTTTTTTTTAGGTTAAAGGTCCCCCTACTACTAGTGATTGGAAACATGCTCTAACATTTATTAAGTTTCTGAAAATTTTCTATGAAGCCACTAAGGTTTTTTCCTACCATTACAAAAAAAAAAACTTATTATCTACAAAATATTACCTACGGGTAAAAATTCGTAGGTAAAATATACATTATCTATGGATATTACCTACGGAATCTTATCCGTATGTAAATTATGCATTACCTATGGAATTTACCCACGGATAAGATGATTATCCATTACCCACGAATGTAAGAGGTAGGTAATGTTTATTTACTATTTTACCTACTCATTTACCTACGAATGTGTAATTAAAAAAGAAGAAGTAAATTTTCATCCCCTGCATGCGCGACCACCCCCCTCCTTTTGAACCAAACTCTGCTCTCTCTCCCCTGTCCCGACCTCACTCATCATTCACCACCATTTTTATAGCCACCATCTCCCTTCTCAAATCTCCCTTCGCGCCCTGCACCCCTAAGCTCCGCGGTCTCACCACCCCCCCGGTCCGCCCTCACTCACATACACCAAGCATCCCAACTCCCTGCACCGACCACCACTAACCAGCACCCATCACCGTGACCATCATCGCACGACCCTAGATCTACGCAGTACAATCGTCGCCACGCTCTTTCCCCTTCTCCCCTCATCGTCGCATCCGCCCATGCCTCCGCCATTGAGGCCAAGTGCCCCTCTGTCTTCGCTAGCCTCTCCTCAACTCCACCACGTCCTAACCACCAGTCCTCTATCTCACCCAAATCACCACCGCACCAGCCGTAGCCCTCTCCACGGCCACCATCCTTGCGATCTAAATCGTCACCTGCGAGTCATCTACCAACCGAACCCATGATTTTTCCGAGCTGAGGAGGTTTGGTTATTTTTCTGGCTGTCTGGATTTTGTCCATGTTTGGATTCTCCCTTGTTGAACGAAGAGAGATATACTTATTTTGTTGTTATTCTGGTTTCATTTCTTTACTTTTATATATGCTTGATGTTTTGAACTGGATTTGTTAGTTTGATTTGGGTAGCTAGTAGCTAGTGGTTGAAGCTAATTGTGTGTGCAATTATGTGAACATCTTTATGTTTCTCTGAATGAGTGGGTTTAGTGCCTAATCCTGATTGAATATGATTTGATTTCTCTTTTGTCAAATGAGGAATTAACAGGAGCAAGATGAGGGATACTTATTTTGCTTATGTTGGTTTCGTTTTTGTCCTGACAAATTGCAAATACTAGGTGGATAGTCTGGTCTCCTACCACTGTACTAGCTAATCCAATACATGTCTATTCTACAACTAAAAGTGTAGGCAAAGTGTGTCATTCTATATATTTTATTCTTGAAAATATTTAGCAATTACAAAAGCTATTGAATAAGAAATATATGTCTGGTCCAACAATTATTATTTCACTCTTCATATTTTGACTCAACTCAACCATGAAAGATTTTTGCTCCGCCTTGTGTATGTGCATATTTGTACTTCTAACTTCTTCATTAAAATCATGACATTTTGCATTAAAGTCTCAAAAGTCCCACTTAGCTCACCATAATTACTGGGTCATGGTTTATATTCCTGTAGATTAACTTAGAATGATTAGTTTTATGATTGGCATTGGTCTGTCAGGTAATAGGGGAATGCCAATGTCACCCTCTAACATCTTAAGGGTCTCAACAATAGCAGGCCCTAAAGCTACCACAACATGAGCACATAGCATGCCAACAACAACAAACCTTTCCATAATTTTTTGGGGCCCTTTTCTTATTGACTCATCAAATATTTCCTAATTCCACAAGTGTCCATATCCAATTTGTCAGTGAATCTGCAGATGAATTCAAAGTATCAAGCACTTTTCTTCCACTCATGATTTCCAGAATGACCATACCATAACTATACACATCACTCTTCTCTGTTAGATGTATACATCATTGCATGTAAGTATACACATTGCATTTCACCAATTGACTACTATTCACTCTACACTTGACAAGGCTACTATGAATTTGAATACTATCTTAGCTCCAACTAGTTGTGACATGAGATTGAAATATCATAAATATTGGGGTAGTGTTTATAACATAAATCATTTATTATATGGTGCTATTTTTTACCTTCGTTACAAGCTTGGGTATGTGATTTAAAATTTTCAATAAATATACAAACATGATTCAGATAAAGTTGTTGAATTAGTTAATTTTATAAAAAAAAGTTTGAAAAAAAATGTATGATTGGTACAAATAAACTCATGATGAGTAACAACATAGATCTCAACAACCACATGTTAGTGTAACAGACTTTACATATCCATCTGAATCATCATCCTTTGTTGAAGTTCTCGAATATTTGGCAAGGGCTTATGCCTTTAAGAAGCATACGGGAGTAAAAGATTCCATAGATAGAAAAAATAAACTAGAAAGGTATTTAAATAAGTCTGTTGCAGATGATGATGATGATGATGGAAAACTTTATTTTACTTTGGTGGAAAATGAAATTTTCACGATTTCCATTCTATCAACAATGGTGAGAGATGTGTTGACACCTCTATATCTACAATGACTTCTAAAAGTGCATTTAGTACTGAGAGTAGGGTTTTGGATGCTTTTAGAAGCTCATTAAATCCTTCAATGGTCAAGACACTTATTTGTGGTTAAAATTGGTTAAAAACTACAATAAATCAGTTTGACGATCTTCATATCAATGAAGAGTTTGAACTTTCTAAAAAGATAGTTACATATATAAAGAATTTGAGCTTTTTTTATAATTATTTTACAATATATTTAATAATATTTTCATTTAATAATTTTCATATTTGTAAGGTTGTTCAATGGGAGTTGAAGAAGCACCAAGCGGAGTTGGATCTAGTAGTGGAGTTGTCCATCATTTCAATGTTAAACCATCTAATTATGTTGTTTTACTTTAATTTTATTATATTTAATTAATAATTATCATTTTGATAGATTGTAGTTGATTTTTTATTTTTTTTTTGCCAATGTAAATTTAATATTTTTTTGTTTTTTGAAGTCATTTGTTAGAGACAAATGTTGAGATCTTAGCTCATTATTTTTTGAAATATATTTCCTTTATTTTTGTTTTGGCATCATTTTATGACTTGATGTTGGTTCATTTTTGGGTAATACTACTACTTATAAACATAGTCAATTAATAACTTAAGAATCTTTATATTAATTGGTTATTGATTTTATAGTTAAGTTCTAAAATTTACAAGAATGATTGACATTGAGATCATTGATTTTTCTTACGAGTTGAAGACATGTCCTTAAGGTAAGAAATTCTCTTGTTATCACTACTACAAATAAGGTTTTCCACGTCGGTTCTGGAAGGCCTTCAACGGCGGTTCCGAACCGAGCGTTGTATCAGCGACGTTGAAAGTCAGGACTTTCAACGTCGGTTAAATAGAACCGACGTTGAAAGTCCTGACTTTCAAATCGAAAATTTTTATTTATTTACAACCCCTCTCCTCTCTCTATTTATTTAGAAATCCCCCCTCTCTTTTATATTATATTTTTATTATTTATCATCTTTTTTTTAAGTTTAGAGCATTACCAAATTAATTTTGTCATCGACAGGATTCGAACTCAGTACCTTAGTGTTGGAGGCTGATACTCCAACCACTAAACTACTCGAATTTTTTGTTAATAACTTACAAATAAATTATATTTATATACAAATAAATATATATCCAGTGTAAATATATAAATATATAAATACAAATATATTTATATATTTTGATATATTTATATAATTATATATTTATATGTTGGATGTGAGGGCACGCTCGAAGGTGAAAGTGTGTCGAGTGAGTTTTCAAAATTTGATGTCAAATTTGTGAGCGAGTCTCTTTATATGGGTTTGTAATTTAATGACGGAATATAATATTTATAATTTATTAATGATACAAAATAAATATGAGAAACGCATCATTCGCTCAGCGAAAAATACCAATTTTCGCTCAAGCGAGGCTTGAACGAGTGAATTTCCGTGAGTTTTAACGTATTTTCACTCAAGCGAGAGTCAATCCCACTTTCACCCTCGAACGCGCCTTCACATCCAACATATAAATATATAACTATATAACTATATAAATATATATAAATATATCAAAATATATAAATATATTTGTATTTATATATTCTATATTTATATATTTGCACGAATATATATTTATATGTATATAAATATAATTTATTTGTAAATTATTATAAAAAAATTATAGTAGTTTAGTGGTTGAAGTATCAATTTTCAACTCTAAAATACTGGGTTCAAAAAATCTCGTTAGTGACAATTCTCTAACTTAAGTAAATTTTTGGCTGAAAAAAAATAAAAACACTTTCCAGAAAATATATATATTTACACGGATATATATTTATTTATATATAAATATAATTAATTTGTAAGTTATTATCGAGAAAATTACAAGTAGTTTAGTGGTTGGAGTATCAACTTTTAACTCTAAAATATTGGGTTCGAATCCGTCAGTGACAATTCTCGAACTTAAGTAAATTTTTAGTTGAAAAAAAATAAAAACACTTTCCGGAAAATATATATAAATAAATATATATTTACACGGATATATATTTATTTGTATATAAATATAATTAATTTGTAAGTTATTATTAGAAAATTACAGTAGTTTAGTGGTTGGAGTATCAACTTTCAACTCTAAAATACTGGGTTCGAATCCTGTCAGTGACAATTCTTGAAATTAAGAGAATTTTTGGGTGAAAACACATTCAACGCTCGGTTCATCCGGGAACCGACGTTGAATGTCTAAATTAAAAGACTTTCAACGCTCGGTTCATCTAGAACCGACGTGGAAAGTGCTTTCTACGTCGGTTGACTAAGAACCGACGTAGAATGTGTCCAACATTCCACTTTCAACGTCGTTTTTTAACCAACCGACGTTGAAAGTGTATTTAACGTCGGCTCAGCTTTAACCGACGTTGAAAGTATATTTTGTAGTAGTTTATTTTTTTTATTGGACTCTTCACATTATAATTTGCTTATTAACATATCTCAAAATAAATTATTAATAGTTCCCTTATTATCTTATTTGTAACCAGGTGCTAAGATTGTGCAAATTTATACATGTATTGAATATATAATTTTTTCTTCTTCTACCTCTTTATATATTTTGGATTGTATCTCTTTTTAGGCAACCAATTTATTGTATCTCTTTACTTTCTTATATATATTAAAATATTTTATGTAGACATTTAATTTAATTAGATAATTATCTTATTTTGTGGATAATTTGTAATATTTGATTATCTTGTTAGTATTTGTTCTCCGTAAAATCAAATTTTGAATTTCTATTTTTTACACCATAAACTCATTGGTTTTTTTTGTTGGCATTTAACAATTAACTGTACATTTATGTTTTATAAGACCTTCATTTGAAATATTTGTATTTATTTATGTTTCATATATCATCGTTTATAAAAATGGTTTTTATCCTATATTTGAAGACTTTTAGAATATGTAAAAAATCATATATTATATTTTTTTACTAGTACCACTTGATTCTTTATTAAATTTATTTTTTTCTTTTTATGTAGATATATTGAGAATCATATTAAATTTGTAAATTTTATAATTTTATATAAATTTAGTTTGTGTATTATTTTCAATTTTATTTTTGGTATGATTTTTTTTCAACTTAGTATTAATTATAAAATCATAGTATATTATAAAAATAATGATTGAAATTATACACGAGTTTAATCTATTTAGTTCATTTAGACAATTAAAATTAAACTAAATAAAATGTGAAAAGTTATACATTTTAAAAAAAACTCAACTTAAATTTAATCGAATAATCCACCCAAAAATTAACATGTAATCCAATTAACCCAATAGATAAAATGGTCGAATGTGGATTCTAAAAATTAAATTTTGATTTAATCTGGGTTTATAAAATTTAACTCACATCCAACCTAATTTGAGTGATACTTAGGTCTAGAATTAGATGTATGTGTGTTTATTTGATGCATTTGTCACATATGATGTAATGTGAGAAATTCTTGTATGTGTAGAGTAATAATACATATAATTATTGATTTTAAAATTAGATGAGATATTCTAACTTTATAACGATGAAAGTTAAAAAAGTTTCTAATAATTTAGTCTATAATGTGAAAAAAATTATGTATTGACAAGTCATTTAAAAGTCTATTATGATCACATATGAATGTATATCAAATTGAATATCCTTGTGTTAAGAAGCACTTGAGGAGATGAGGAATAAAAAATATAAATATCTAATTTCTAGTTAATATCTATTATTGTGGAAGTCATATAGTGTTTATATGAAATGAATGTGATTCAGTACGTGTGCAATGTAATATCTATATGATGTAAATTGATGTGATATATTAAATTTAAAATAAATTTATATAATATTATCTTATATCAAATTTAAATTTAATTGTTTATTTTAAATTATTAAATTATCTTTTATATTTTATTGTTTATTTTAAACTATGAAAATCATTTATTTATGTAAAACAAATAATGCATATATTAAACCTTAACAAAAATAGATTTAAAATATATAACATTCTAGATTAGTTTCATGATTATATATATATATATATATATATATATATATATATATATATATTTATTTATTTATTTTCTAACGCTTGTATATATATTTAAGATTGTTACATAATTAATTAAAAATATTCAATTTATTTAATTTAAAAAAAATCATATATATATATATATATATATATATATATAATATCTATGTGATTGAAAATAATTACTGTAGAATCAATAACAATCAAAATTATGTTCATAAGTTTTTATTTTTTTAATCAATCACGGGACCATAATGTAATAAGTGATAATATACATCCAGTATGCATTATAAAATATAATATATAATATCTCTACCAATATATATATATATATATATATATATATATATATATATATATATATATATATGCAATATAAAATATAGTTATTCAATAATGTAATATAATATGATTTTATTACTAAAATAATTAATCTTAAAATTTAAGTAATTTGAAAAGAAAAGAACACTAATATATTTTATAACTGTTTTAATATTGTTTTTCTGATAGATAAAAGTCCGTGCTCTTAATTTCTTTTTGAAGTACGTTAGTTTTAAAGATTATTTAATAATTTATTGTAGTATATTTTATATAACAATGGTTAATTATAGATGTGTAATTGATTGCTGAAATAGTTAATGGTGTATAATTGATTACTATAACAATTAATTCTGTCAAATATGTTTTTTTTAGTCAGCAGTGAATATTAGATAAATTATTTTAATTTAGTTGTGCATCTGAGATGTTTTAAAATAAACATAATTACTTAAAAATTAAAAAAAATTACTTAAAATTAAAAAAATAATTATTTAGATAAATAACTCTTATCAAATATAATATTTTATTTTATTCTTAAATAATTCTAATTAAAAATTTTCTTTTCAAGATATTTTAAAATAAAATCTTTATAATAAAACTTAAAAAAGATATATGAAGTATTTTATGTAATTTTTAAGGCCTTCGTTAATGTTTCCGTGGGCCCAGAGAAAGGTTCTCTTAATGCTTTATATAGGTGGGCCAATCTTGACGTAAGTTATTGGATTGGACCGTGATAATGATTATTTAGTGGCTCTTCCTTCCTTCATAATTTCCCAGCATCCAATACACGTCAGTTTACTCTTATACTTATTTTTATTTTTAGAATATATTTCCCGTTACTTTTTATAAACACATTTTGAAACACTCATTCTATAATGCGTTTTAAGAAATACATTTAGATTAAATGTCTTAAAAAAACTATTCTAAAAAATATATTTTAGATTAAGTATTTTGGAATATATTTTTAAAAAATAATCAAAAAATGAATTCCGAAATATTTAATTTGAAATACATTTTTACATTAATATTTTTAAAAATATATTCTAGAACACTAAATATAAAATACATTTTTAGATTAACTTTTACAAAAACACATTTTGGAACGTTTAATCCATAATGTATTTCTAGAAATATATTTCAGACCATTCAATCTAAAATATATTTTCGGATTGATGATTCTAGAATTCAATTTTATTTTCATGATATTATTTCAAATTAAGCAATTTGAGTATTTTTGTGTAAAAACATGATTTTTTTTTTCGGGTGTAGCATTATTTTAACATAAAATTTATATATAGCATATTATATATAATATTTACACAAGTAGCACAATTTTCAAAAAGTCAAACATTTCATATAAAAAATAGTCATTATTAGAAATTTTATGTTTTAAATCCATTAAAATATATATATATATATATATATTAAAATTTTTTATTTATATAATTATATTATTAATATATTTTTATAAATATAATAAATACAAATATATTTAATATATATAATATTTAAATATTTATTTATATAATTATATCAAATTAATATAAATATTATTTTTACCTATCATAAAATATATTTTTATAATTATATGTTTAATATATTTTTATAAATATAGTAAATGCAAATATATTTTATATATATATATATATATATATATATAATATTTAAATTTTATTTAATATAAACTAGTTGAAGAAAAAAATGATAAAAATAATAATTTATAGGAATAATAAATAAAAATAAATTTATATAAGATATTGTATGAATAAAATTTATATTAATAATAATTTTGATGTAAAAAATTAGAAAAATATAAATAAATTATAATATTATAGATTTAATATTTAAATAAATTTAATAAATATGAATTTATATAATATATATAAATAGAATATCTTACTCAAATTAATATAATAAATATGGATTTAATCACTTTAATTCAAATAGTATATCTTACTCAAATTATCTAATTAAAATTTTTATTTATACAGAATTTTAACAAAATATTTATACCAAACATATTAAAATATAATAAAAATATTTATAAATTTTTATAAAAGAAATATTATTTATACTTAATAAATATATATATATATATATATATAATTTATTTATGTTATTATGTATATAGAAAAATATAAATATATATTTATTAAATATATAAATATACATGTATTTATTATATTTATAAAAAGATAAATAAATACTTAAATATTTAAATATATATATATATATATATATTAAATATATTTATATTTATAAAAATATATTAATAATATAATTATATAAATATATTATTTATATTGATTTGATATAATTATATAAATAATTTTTTTAAATATATATATATATATATATATATATATATATTTAATATATTAATATATAGCGTTAGTACATTTGTTTTCTTGCCACCGCCATTTTTTTGTGGGTAGTCGAATGAAGATTTTAGAGATGGGGCTCGGAGGCGAAATAGGCAGAAAGAGGTGGCTTTTCGAGTTTGATAGGCAGGAAAGAGGGCTTGGTCCTTGGAGTTAGATAATGGAAAAGAAGATTTAGACGAGTATCAGAAGCAGTTAAGAGAACTGTGAATTTGAAGATTCCTCAATATTTTATTTAAAATATTTGACTTTTCAAAAACTGTGCTACTCATGTAAATAATAAGTAAAATATGCTATATATGAACATTTATATTAAAATAATGTTAAGCAAAAGAAAATCAAATAATTAAAGGAAGGTTGTACACAAATATAAGAAAAAAATTAAAAATTAAGGTAAAAATAAAATTATGGAAAATGTATTTTAGGTATTTAATTTCGGTAGGTGGAGTAGTGAGGTGTAGTAAGAAATTATGGGTTGCAAAAAGCGAGCCTTATTTAGTTCGTCTAACATTTTGGCTGTGCTAAGGTTTTAGAAAGGTTTGGGACCACTGCGAGAGGGGTTTATTGTTTTAGGTTTTAGTTCAAGCGCCACTTCCTCTCTATTGTGGTTTTAGGGTTTTGGTGAGATTTGGTTGAAAACTTCTCTCTGCTTTCTCCATGGATCTTTCAGACCTTAATTCAGCTGAAATGCAGAAATTCTATTCTGTAAGTTTAATTTCTTCGAACCTCCTGTTAGTTTTACGGCTTTTTATTTGTATGAAAATGAAAATTTCCCCGCCGATTAAAGCAAATACCTTATTTGTTAATAGCAGTGCCCGTATTTATTTGTCTTTGAACTTTGAATCAAAGCGGTCATAATTGTTAGTTATGCATTACGCGAAGTGTGATTCTTTTATTTTGGCTAAAAAATTCATCTGAATTGTTATTCAAATTACAAAATTAATAGAGTCGTAAACAATCTTATATTAATTAGTGGAAGCATGTATTAAGTTTGGCAATATGTGATGATGTTATGGCAGTGCTATTTAACAATTCGTTAGTTTTCAGAATATATGAAAGACGTGGTGATTTTCTTTTTTGACTGTGACTTTTGTAAGTTATGCTTGACTTCTCAGTTGCTTAAATCTTAATTTTACATATCATCATATTCTACTAATAGAGTCTAAACAAATTGGAAGATGGATGAAAAAAATTGCATTGAAAAGCTACACCAATACCTGTTTGTGTTATGTTTTATTCAATTCTTATTTTAGCCATTGTTGTATGTATACCTGTTACTAATAAACCAGAGATGTGGCTAAAAATGCAATCAATGCACAGTCTGTTAGGGCGTGAAATATAGAATATAAACACAGATGATAAGAGTGATAAACAAACTGATTTTAGTTTTTAAATTGAGTAGTCTAAGTATGTAACCTTGCTGCTACTGTTTCCTGGCATATTCTGAGAGTTTTTGTACTTATATGCTTCCTTTGTGTGCTGTTATTGTGAGGATCATGATGCTTAAGTATCATTACTTGGCCAGTCAGTTATTCTTATTTTTGGTTGCATAATTATAGTGGTAGTCCAGGATGTACCACTTATAAGTAGGCTAGCCATTCTCTTTTAGTTTTTATTTGTTATTTTTTTATCTGCTTTCAGTTTCAGTTTTATTTTATCCGTATGCCCTTAACTATCCCTCCAAATGCAGGAAGAACAGCAAAGAGCCATGGTTAACGAGATGGTGGCAAAGCTAACGAGTGAATGCTGGGACAAATGCATCACGGGTACACCTGGGAATAAATTCAGTTCCAGTGAATCTAATTGTCTTTCAAACTGTGCACACCGTTACTTGGAGATGAGCATGCTTATCATGAAAAGGTTTCAGAGTATGCAATGAAGATCAAGTGTTATCATCCTGAAAATTTATCTTATTATCTGGAATCTTATTATCTGGCAGCTTTGTTTCTTGGATTAATTTATATTTGTTGAGACTGTTGTGTCCAAATATTTTGTTTACTTTTTTGGCGTTCCTGAAATATATATATATATAGAGAGAAAAAAACTCTGCCTATTTGTGAATTGCGTACAGCGTGCGCGACTGAAATGGTATGCATTTGCAATTTCAATTTCTCAGTCAAGCAAGTAAAAACAGATAAACGTGTAAGAAAAATTTAATTATTTGTTAATCTCCAATTTTCCTCTTATCACCTTTAAAAGTAAGAGTTTGCATATAACTGCTTTAAATTGTCATCTTAGCAGGGTCTCACGGGAGCCATATTGTTAATAATTTTTATATGTTTATATTTTTAAATTATAGAACGTATATTTCGTGATATGCAATTTAAATTAGATAATATTATCTGGTTTCCATATATATCTATTGTTTCACAGGGGCCATGTCTCAAATGAGTAGCTTTTGGTTATGGTTCCTCACATGCAGTCATGATAAGTTTTTAGTTGTCAGGCATTGGGTTGAAATGCAGATCATGAAACCTGTAAAATATGAAATTAGTGAAGTGAATTTGGTATTTATTTTTTCCTTCTCTTTTTGGCGAAAGGGATCAAAGGTCCTTATTATGTTGTTTATTACATAGTAGTATACGAGAAAACTTAATTTTTCTTGACATACGTGAATGTGTGGCGAACTCTATTCGCTTTTTTGTGTGCAAATGAATTCAAGTGGTGTTCGAGAGACAAATGATTCAATAATACCCATAAATGAAACTTCTGAATCGTACTATCCTACAATTTATGGTTCACTTTAAGAATATTCTATGGTTAAGGCAATACGCCTCCGGTTGGTCAACTTTCGTTGGAAATAGACAATGCCACAGAGACGAGGGAGGCCAAGTGTCTGTGTCCAGTATGTTGTTTGGAACAATGGGCTGTTGATTATGTCATTGGATTGTTTGTTGAGGGTGCTAAAACGTGGAAGCACTTCCGGAGGGAGGCGAAGAAAGATTTCAAAGAGAACATCATTGCACAGTTCCACGGGTGGCGAGGTAGAGGGACAAGATGTTCGGTAGAAGGATTGTACGAATTTCACAATCCATTCCCACCATTTGGATAATGTCATTTTCCTCTGCTATTGTATTGATCAATTGGATAATTCTCTGCTATAACTAGAAAAAACTTGGACCTGAATCTGGATATTGTTGAAGCAGAGGGCACTGGCTTTCACGTTGCTACTTTTTTTCTTATATAAGAATGTGAGATTAGTGCCATGTGGACGTCATAGGTTTGTTAGGGAGACTAATACGGGACACCTTTCATGTGAAGGTCACAATGAACTACATCGACAATCGTCCTCAACTTTGATCTGGAAGCCAAAATTGGACGAGGGTTAATGACATTTTGTAACACTTTTTAAAATAATTTTTATTTCGTTAAATTTATTGAAACCAATAAAAATTTTGTTTACTGTTTAAGTATTTGTTTCAATGTATCAAATTCTTGCACAATATCCTCATTTTTATTTCTTATAAAAAGCATTTGTTTCAAATAATGAAATTATTTTAGGAAAGTGAACTTCAGAACATCACATTCCCATATATAGTACTGTAAGTTTTTAATCCTCTTTGTATACAAAATGTAAACCTGAACCTCAATTCTTCTCATTGTCATGTATGCATGGCTAGCCTATCTCCACCTAAATTGATGATGTGTTAGTTTTTTCTACCCACCTTGGACACGTGTGTAAGGTTATCCAGCTCACTAGTTACTGTTTTTTTTTTCTTTCTTAAACATAATTGAATCTAAACTTTCTTCAGTAATTAAGAATATATATATATATATATATATATATATATATATATATATAATGTACTTAACCAACAATCAGTGCTGATATCAAATCAAGCTATCAATGAAATTCTGAAAAGTATAACAATAAAAGAAGAAGCAGAAGACATGGAAAAAAAAAATTAATTAAAAGAACACATGCTGGAAGAATCACTTTTCACAATTTCTATTGTTCTATTTTCCAACCCAAAACTATTGAGTTTTAATATACATTACAGTGATATTCTGGAGCCGTTTCTGTTGAGTTGCCATTAGGCTCACTACTACTAAAACTGTTGATCCTGTCTCGAACTTCAGGACTCATCTCCCATTTTCTTTGCTGCTTATTTCCCATAACGAGTGCCTTTGAAACGAAGCAACTTCTCTCTGATCCCCTTCAGCATGAAACATCCTGCTCAAATCCATGGACTTATCATCTAATCCACTACCCTTGCCAATTTTCTCGTCATTGATAAACTCATCTTCGCAATCGCTTTCGTCCTCCTCAACTTCGTTGTACACTGGGGTCCCTAGTTCAAGGTCTCCTGCAATTTTTCTCATCACAGGGTTCAGAGATTCAGCAGCCCTTCTTCCAGATGAATCTGCTGGTTCTTTCGGAATTGGAATCTTAGACCTGAACTTGTTCTTGGATTGGGGAATGCCGGAGCAAAATATTTCTCTGAAGTTCTCAGCTACTCCTCTGTCATACGGGTTGGCTTGTTCGTCATACCGGTACCTAAAGTTTTCGTAAGTGGACTGCACATAAAAACAATAGTCATTTACAAGTGTTGAAGTGTATGAAACTACAAATGGTCACTAGTGTTTCTTAGACAAAGTATGCATACCATTATATACTATCTATATTAAGGTTTCTAAAAGTGGAATGCAACGGGTGATCAGAAATCATAAACACTCAGAAAATAAGTAGAAAGTAAAAGTCACATTTAAGTTCAAGGAGTTGTGAGTTAAACGGTGTTCAAACCTGGTTTTTGCTGATTAGATATGTGTGGAAAACAGTGAGGCCACCAACAAACCAGACAGAAATGAAGGAGTATATTATTAGTGCAATGGAGGCAGGAGTTTTGATCATTGCTTTCCAAATTGATATCTCCTCTGAGTCCATGATCCTCTTAATGTAGACCCAACAAAAGCCATGAACATAGAAACAAAGAAGGGTTGCAGAGAAAACAAACATGTAGTAGAACCTGTAATTTCGCTGCCGCCATGTACATAAAAGCAAAGAAGGAACAAAAAAAATTCTGACTTAGCAACTCCATGATCATATCTACCACAAATATATTTGTGTACTAATTATGTTTGTCTTTAAGCTTGTTCCGTTGGATGTGTATTTTAGCATGAAAACATGCAATTACCAACATACATGCAAACAATTCTCCATTTCTATGTTTTATAACCTTGGAGAAAAGTGTATTCAAGAATATGATACAATACAAACCAGTAGTAAGAATTTAAATAGAAACACAAACCTTAGAGGGAGCATACGCTATAATGATTCTACAATTTATAATCCTAGTTCTGTAGCAATTTCTGTTATTTGTAAGTCACATAATTTTAAGAACCGCTTAACACTTTCCATCAATGGACTAAAATATTTCAGGCTGTCTTTCTACAAACACTAAATATTGTTAGGTAAACATTAAATGCATGTAGTTGAGAGGTAGTGGTTATAGAGGTAGTAGTTGAGAGGTAGTTGTTGTATTGAATGTATGTAGTTGAAAGGTAGTAGTTGTATTAAATGCATGTAGTTGAGAGGCCATATCTAAAGGGCCTATAAATTGACCATGCATCACTCATTGCAAATACATCAAGTGACAATATACGAGTGCTTTATTTAGATACTTGTTTGTCTACAAATTGGTATCGA